AAACTGCAAAAATGTTTTCCCATTCTGTTGGTTGCTGGTTCACTCTAATGACTGTTTCTTTTGCCATGCAGAAGCTGTGGAGTTTGATTAGGTCCCATTTGTCTATTTTGGCTTTTGTTGGTAATGCTTTTTGTGTTTTCATCATGAAGTCCTTGCCTACGCCTATGTCCTGAATGGTTGAAACACTGAATAGACCAATAAAAAGATCTGAAGTTGAGGCGGCACTTAAGAGCCTACCAGACATAAAAAGCCCAGGTGCAGATGGGTTCACAGCCGAATTCTACCAGACACACAAAGAGGAGCTGGTACCATTCCTTCTGAAACTATTCCAAATAATCCAAAAAGAGGGAATCCTTCCCAAATCATTTTATGAGACCAACACCACGATGGTACCAAAACCTGGCAGAGACTCAACAAGAGAAGAAAACTTCAGGCCAATATCCATGATGAACATAGATGCAAAAATCTTCAATAAAATACTGGCAAGCCGATTGCAACAGCACATCTAAAAGCTTATCCACCATGATCAAGTAGGATTCATCCTGGGGATGCAAGGCTGGTTCAACATATGCAAGTCTATAAACATAATTCACCACATAAACAGAACCAAAGACAAAAACCACGTGATTATCTCAATTGATGCAGAGAAGGCCTTTGACAAAATTCAACAGCGCTTTTGCTAAACCCTCAATAAACTAGGTATTGACGAAACGTATCTCAAAATAATAAAAGCTATTTACGACAAACCAACAGCCAATATCATACTGAATTGGCAAAAACTGGAAGCATTCCCTTTGAATTCTGGCACTAGACAAGGATGCCCTCTTTCACCACTCCTATTCAATATAGTACTGGAAGTTCTAGCCAGAGCAATCAGGCAAGAAAAAGAAATAAAGGGTATTCAAATAGGAAAGGAGGAAGCCAAATTGTCTCTATTTGCAGATGACATGATTGTATATCTAGAAGACCCCATGGTCTCAGCCCAAAATCTCCTGAAACTGATAAGCAACTTCAGCAAAGTCTCAGGATACAAAATCAATGTGCAAAAATCACAAGCATTCGTCTACACCAATAACAGACTTAAAGAGAGCCAAATCAAGAACGAACTGCCATTCACAATTGCTACAAAGAGAATAAAATACCTAGGAATACAACTAACAAGGAACTTAAAGGACCTCTTCAAGGAGAACTACAAACCACTGCTCAACGAAATAAGAGAGGACACAAACAGATGGAGAAACATTCCATGTTCATGGTTAGGAAGAGTCAATATCATGAAAATGGCCAAACTGCCCAAAGTAACTTACAGATTCAATGCTATCCCCATCAAGCTACCAATGACCTTCTTCACAGAACTGGAAAAAAACACCTTAAACTTCATATGGAACCAAAAGAGAGCCCACATAGCCAAGTCAATCCTAAACAAAAAGGACACAGAGGGAGACATCACACTACTGGACTTCAAACTATACTACAAGGCTACAGTAATCAAAACAGCATGGTACTGGTACCAAAACAGAGATATAGACCAATGGAACAGAACAGGGGCCTCGGAGGCAACACAACATATCTACAACCATCCGATCTTTGACAAACCTGTCAAAAACAAGCAATGGGGAAAGGATTCCCTGTTTAATAAATGGTGTTGGGAAAACTGGCTAGCCATGTGCAGAAAGCAAAACTGGACCCCTTCCTGACACCTTACACTAAAATTAACTCCAGATGGATTAAAGACCTAAACATAAGACAAAACACCATAAAAACCCTAGAAGAAAATCTAGACAAAACAATTCTCATATTTTTAGTAGAGATGAGGTTTTGCTATGTTGGCCAGGCTGGTTTTGAACCCCTGACCTCAGGTGATCCACCTGCGTTGGCCTCCCGAAGTGCTAGGATTACAGTCATCAGCCACCATGCCTGGCCAAGCCTGTATCTAATAAAAGGCATATCTTGGATGCCTCTCCAAGTGAAAGTGTCAGACTAGAAGCATCATACTACTCACCATGGTAGTTCCATCTGGGACAAGGTCCCACAGCAAGGTTCCCTCCTGATCATTCACTTGCATTTCAAGCAAGGGTAAAGTTCGTGCCCATTTCTGAAAAATGTGGGCTATCCTTGATCATGGAAGAGTCATAGTGAAATGGATTAAAGAGATGCCCTAGGTTCTGGATGAAGTACTCAAATATGCCATGAATCAACCTTCTCTAAAAATACATAGGGAAATTCTCTTTCCCTATGTATTTTTCCTTATGTATTGCCCAAGAATACATAGGTTGGGCAACTTTCTCTTATCAGCTGGCCAACACAAGTGAAATGGGTTTATTTTTAGTTTTCCTCATCCCTCTAGGTCTCTGCCTTCTTTCTTATGTTAGATTTTGTAAATTTCTAAAATCAGTTGAAAAGACAAACCAAAATAAAGTTATACAAGCAGCCTAATAAATCTTAACAAATGCTTTATGCAAAAATATGGGGAGGCTGGGCATGGTAGCTCACACCTGTAATCCCAGCACTTTGGGAGGCTGAGTTGGGTGGATCACCTGAGGTTGGGAGTTTGAGACCAACCCGACCAACATGGAGAAACCCTGTCCCTACTAAAAATACAAAATTAGCCAGGCATGGTGGTGCATCCCTATAATCCCAACTACTCGGGAGGCTAAGGCAGGAGAATCGCTTGAACCTGGGAGGCAGAGGTTGTGGTGAGCCGAGATTATGCCATTGCATTCCAGCCTGGGAAACAAGAGTGAAACTCTGCCTCAGAAAAAAGGGGGGCGAATTTCTCTTAGCATGCAGGCAAATTAGAATGACTGCCCAGTTAAGAACTGTTTCACTACATTTAAAAGGTGACATGTAGGAATACGACCTGAGCCACAACATGAAGTCATCCAGTTCAGTCTATTAGAGCACTATAAAGACCTTGAGTTGTCTTCACTCTCAAGGAACAGATATTAACTTAAGATTTACTTTACTGACCTTGTATTACCTGGTGGAAAGCCAGTTTATGAAAGCACACAAATACAACTCTTTTAGTCCTTTTCATGTATCTCTTTCTTCAATCATACTCTAAGTAGGCAATCATTTAGTCATGTCAGATCAGTGACATACATTGTACTGGGATGACCCAGAGCACTGTGGAACACTTAGCAGCAACCCTGACCTCTACTCAATTGATGCCAATGCCCCACCCCCATCTAGTAGTAACAGCCAGACATTGCCAGATGTTCCCTTGGAAACAAAACTGTCCCCCCAAACCCTAGTTGAGAACCACTGAGCCATACTCAAATAGAAATGATAAAGGATAAAGTAAAATCAATTCCCCCGAATACTATAGGCAACAAATCAATTTCTAGATAGAACGTTTTCATAATTGTATATTAAAAAATCCAGCTACAGGATGATACAATTTAACATCTAGCCACAATCATTTGGAAATGCAGAGATGGATAAAGAGGCTTTAAAAATACTTCACACAAGTAAACACAGACCTATACTACCTTGACTTTGCCAAAAATAAGTTTTGGTGTAAGATAAATCAAAACATAAACATAGGTGACTGCTTTCTACTGTTTCCCCCAAAAGGGGTGGGAGAAACTAAATCAGGGATGTCCAATCTTTTGGCTTCCGTGGGCCACACTGGAAGAATTGTCTTGGGCTGCACATAAAATACACTAACAGGCTGGGCACGGGGCTCATGCCTGTAATCCCAGCACTTTGGGAGGCTGAGCTGGGGGGATCACCTGAGGTCAAGAGATCGAAACCATCCTGGCCAACATGGTGAAACCCCATCTGTATTAAAAATACAAAAACTAGCTGAGTGTGGTAGCCCATGCCTGTAGTCCCAGCTACTCAGGAGGCTGAGGCAGAATTGCTTGAACCTGGAAGGCAGAGGTTGCAGTGAGCTGAGATTGCACCACTGTATTCCAGCGTCTCGGCAACAGACTGAGACGCCATCTCAAAAAAAAAAATGCACTGACCACGAGGTCAGGAGTTCAAGACCAGCCTGGCCAACATGGCAAAACCCATCTCTAATAAAAATACCAAAATTAGCCAATCGTGGTGGTGGGTACCAGTAATCTGAGCTAATCGGGAGGCTAAGGTAGGAGAATTGCTTGAACCTGGGAGGTGGAGGTTGCAGTGAACCAAGATTGTGCCACTGCACTCCAGCCTGGGCAACAAGAGTTGCCCCATCTCAAAAAACAAAAAATAATACACTAACAATAGCTAATAAGCTAAAAAAAAGAAGTCTCATAACTTTTTTTTTTTTTTTGAGACAGAGTCTCACTCTATCGCCCAGGCTGGAGTGCAGTGGTGCTCTCTCAGCTCACCACAAGCTCCGCCTTCCTGGTTCAAGCTATTCTCCTCCCTCAGCCTCCTGATGTAGCTGATTACAGGCGTGCAACACCACACCCGGCTAATTGTTGTATTTTTAGTAGAGACGGGCTTTACCATGTTGGTCAGGCTGGTCACTAACTCCTGATCTCTTGTTCTACCCACCTTGGCCTCCCAAAGTGCTGGGATTACAGGCATGAGCCACCAAACTGGCCACGTCTCATAATGTTTTAAGAAAGTTTACCAATCTGCACTGGGCTGCATATAAAGCCATCCTGAGCTGCAAGTTGGACAAGCTTGCTGTAAATGAAGTCAAACTTCAAATTTCTCTTAAAATAACTGGCAAAGTAGAAAGTACAATTATGTAGCTCACATACACAATATAGATTGTAGTTGTTTTCCTTTGTCTCACGTGATAATGCTAGGGCAGTGAAAAACAAGGGCTTATTTGGGTAAGGAAACAAAGGCACAATTGAACTTGCTATTCCATAAGTAAGAGCAGATATTCTAGAAACAAAAAATGACAGAGTCATTCATCGTCCAAAGGGTATTTGTTTTACTAATAGTCCAAGCAGCACATCCAAATTGCACTGAAAAAGAAAGTGTCAGAGGCAGGGACAGCCTGTTCCACTAGAAATAATAGTCCATTCATAAAATAAGACAAACACAGAAAATTATCAAATGTCATTCTGGTCTTTATTTTTGGACATGTAGCATGTTTTAACAAATCAGTTTTTCATGAACAACCTTTTGAAACATCAAAAGAAATACCATGTATTTTCACAAATTTCTCATCATTGTAAATTCACTTTAAAATCAACATAAGTAGCAAGGTAGAGCAATGTGTTTCCACATACTGACCAGTTCAACACTGACAGTGACAAGGTATACAGGAAGGTTGAAAATTAAGATTTACATAAAACAAATTTACTTCCATTTGTTAAAAAAAAAAGAAACAATTGTCATTTGCAAATTACATATTTTACATGCAAAGGCAACTAACTTTAGCTTTTCTTTCCATCTCAAATAAATGACAATTTAAGAATTAAATGACAATTTTAAAAAATTAAGCAAAAAGGAAAAAATGGTGGCGTGCCTTTAAAACCTGTTGAGTAGAATAAATAAGTGCCAAATATTATAGTTTCTCACTTTACCATGAATATTGGCACTGTTTATTTAATGTTTATATGTGAGTTTCTATGCATAAAAATCCCAGTAAGACTGAATGGTTTAGATCAGTCCATTTTTCTCCAACAAAAGAATCCCTAACTTCTAGATTTTAAAAATTGCACTCTTACTTTTGCGTTTTAGTACAAACAAAACACAAATATATTTCTTTTATATCAGTGCAACCAGTTAATAGGCATGTTATTTTGTAAAAAGTAATACATTTTGTGAATGTTATCATTTTAAAAAATCCTATACAGAATCACAACACTGTCAGAATCTATGTAGTGCACTCACAAGTGCCTCATTATTCTGAATTCACAGTCCTTTCCTCACAAAAACCTCAAGAGTTCAAAGAATTAATAATACACACCAAGTGGATAATTTGGGGTTAAAAAACCCATGGCTCTGGGCAACAATAATTACAGTTAATAACATACACCCACAAAGACTGTTCCTAAAATTTTCAACTTGGTTTGCTATAAATAAAACATTCTGAAGTAAAGCCTTTTGCACACTGACAATACTTATCAGACATCAGCGAGGCCACAGTGAAGGGGAGTGACTTACATTAAAAGGACAGGGTAGCAGCTGGTTTTGGGATGGCATACCTCCTACATTCTGCTCAGAAAACACGAAGGCATTTACAGAAAACTCAGTTATGCACTGACAAATATGGAGGGGTTCTCTGCACTATCAACAGTGATCTCGGTCCCCAGTATTTAAAAAGCAAAAAGTATCTTCATAAACACAACTGAAGATGAAGGCTCTATCCAGGAGAATGCATACAACAGGAGCAAAGAAGTACTAGTAGTGTGTCAGCGATTTTTTTCCTGGCATTAACTGGCATGAGCATTTTTGGCATGTTGGATATTTACGTCATGTCAACCATGACTACGATTAAGTAAGCCATCTGAATGGTAAACAAAGAGTGAATACACCCCTGGTCCTTAACAGCGGGAAGCATCTAGTTCAACATTCTACACAGAGCAGGTGCTCAAAATGTGCTGGTAAGTGATGGACTATCTTACTCAAAGAGCCTGCTAATTATATGTAACACCTACTGAGTGAACCTAATAAATGCTTAAGACATGACTTAGATGTCTAATAAATGTATATGAACATGACTTAAAATAGTTCATATAATTGTTGTACTTCCCTAAAGAAAACCTGTAAACATCTGGTGAGTGTCTAATGGTACAGCATTAAAAACTGGCCAAAAAATGCCCAGAAAACATTTGGCCCTTCAGCACCCAAAGCTCTCAAAATATAATGTTAAACATCTCTGCTACAGGGATTTCAGTAGTCTGAAAAATTTCATACCTGAGTGGCTTAAATGTTCTCTCCTAAATTTCAAATAAGTGCAATAAGTTTTACACTCAGGAATTGCATAAGTTTTTCTCTTTCCTCAACAGAAAACATTGAATGATATAGAGGTAGCATAACTTACTAAATTAACTTCAAAAAAACAAAAATCCCACAAAATCAAGGTTATTTTCCATAGTCTTAATAGAGCTATTACAAATGTTTAAAATCTCACAATCGAGGCTTTCTTCTACCTGGTTTTAGATATCTCACTATTCCGACCCCTTCTTTTACTGTGAGAATATTTATGAGTCCAGGCACCCCGTGGCCCAGTGGCATCTACTGCAACATCAATGACAGAATCTGGAGTCATCCATCTCAAGAAAATGAGGAAGAGGAAGTTGAAAACAGCCAACAAAGCAAAGATGTAGCCTGTTACTGGGCCGCAGTGAGAGATAAGTCTGTCCAGTCGTTTGTCCATTGGCAACACAGCTTCCATTGATACCCGGTCATATACCTGGAGGGAGAGAAGCCAAGCGCTTTCACCCATCACCCCATCACCCATCCCATGATAAGTGACGACCCGATCCTGCAGGAACATTTTATAAACAAATGCAAATGAAAGTTGCTTGTGTTTTGTTATTGTTGTTGACATAGCAATGATATCCTTAATGAACTTAATCACGATACTTATTGCCATTTGATTCAAAACTTATTGGGTACTTATTTGGGGCAAGATACCAGGCTAGAGGCTGGGTGATACAAAGAATAAGCCACAGTCCCTCTCCCCTAGGGAGTCACCATCAATTTAGCCAACTACTAGAATTCCAAAGTCCTGCAAAGTCTGAACGTCTTTTGGGGTCACTGTAGGGTCAATATCTAATTTAGCAGTACTGAAGCAGGATTTGCCTTTGAAGATTCCTTGACTAAGCTGAGATGGGTCTCAACGGCATCTGGGAGACATCAACCATGAGCAGAAAGCTTACAATCTAGCATGCTTCTGGGAAAACAGAGGCTGTTCTTTCAACAGCCGCATGAGGCTATACGTGTTACTGAGCATGGATGGTGAAGACATATAGAAACATTTCATGGATTTCAAATAAAATAAGATAAAGAGATAGAGGAAATAAGTGCCGGAATTATAGGCATGAGCCACCACGCCTGACCTAGTTCTTTCCCCGTTAACTTATACAATGGCTCAGGCTTCTAAGGTTTATATGATGTCAATCAAGAAGGTCAAGTCACAACTTACAGTGCCATGGTTCTCAAAGGGAGTGGATATCAGGATGGCATCATCAAAATGTCCGATCTAACCAAATATCCCTGCCAATTACACCCCCGATTCTATCTTAGTGCCTAAAGTATCACATTGGAATCTAGGGAGTGGTTGGGGAGGCAGGGGGACATAAAGACGGAGTAGTCTGAAAAGACTGCCAAGGGGACTGTAACATGCACTCCCAGTAGGTAAGCGCTAGACTCCAACTTCCCACGTTTCATAACGGAGAGATAGTACAAGACTTGTAGAAGGTCAGAATGTCTCAAAATGCTTCCATCAAAAATGTGTGACTATTGCAAATAGCTCATGTTTCAAAGGAAAATGTATATGACAATTTTTAGAGATAAGTTTTTAGAACTTCCATTCATATGAGTTCAACTTATATACTGGAATTCATCATTCAAACCAAGAAAGAAAGCCATACAGTAAAGAGCTAGGCTCCTCAGCTCCAACTTTCTATCTACTTCAGGCTAAAAGCTCACTGCTGCACTGAATATAACGTTGGTAGCATTAGTCTAAGCTACTACCTTCTCCGTGTTCCACCTGGTTATTTTTTGGGTTCAGTTTCTACATACTAAGAAGCTGAGTTGCTTCTGTTCAGCTTGTTACATGGTAATAAGAGGCATGAGGCAGAGAACGTCATGAAAAGCACATAAAGGATGAAACTGAGAATAAAACCAGTTCCTAATTCAAATTCAGGAAGTATTTCCCCCAATTGTAATCTCCTATCTAAGGTTGTTAATCTATTTCCTATACCAGTCCTTCTGGAAATTCTCTGTTGCTGGTTTTTATTTGTGATTTTTCCCACTTTTGTCATGTACATTTTGAATTCTAGCTTACTAGGTTCTCAATCAGCCCAAAGATGCAAAAATTGTTTTCCTGGAGAAAATCACTGTAGTTAGCAAAAGGGCTGCAAGAGGTTTAGAAAGTAGCCTGAATTAAATATTCACAAGTTATAAAGTTGCTGCAATCAGCAAAACCATGTATTTCCTAATAAAGTTGTCTGCTTTAGAATTATCAACAGCTTCAAGAAAATATCTAAGAGGAAATTTAATACTCATCTCTACTCATTCCAACTTTTTTTTTTAATACAGAGCCTCGCTGTCACCAGTCGGCAGTGCAGTGGTGCAATCTCAGCTCACTGCAACCTCCGCCTCCTGGGTTCAAGCGATTCTCCTGCCTCAGCCTCCTGAGTAGCTGGGATTACAGGCACACGCCACCACGCCTCGCTAATTTTTGTATTTTTAGTAGAGACGGGGTTTTACCACGTTGGCCAGGATGGTCTCGAGCTCTTGACCTCATAATCTACCCACCTCAGCCTCCCAAAGTGCTGGGATTACAAGCGTGAGCCACTGCACCAGGCCCATTGTGACTTTTAGAAAACTTTGTAACTTCTTCATGCCTAGTTTAATGACTGGGCTAGGCTGTATTACTGCTACTTTCAAATGTCAAATGCAATAATTTGACTAGACACTTAGCCCGGTGTATGTACCAAAATCTGCTTCTTTATATCTGGAAGAAATTTCATCAACTTAAGCAATAGAATAGAAATGGTAAACTTGTATGTAGGAAAAAGCAAATGTGTAAGTGAAACATCAAGAGTGCAGACACAATCTTTTCTCAGCATGTGACATACCTTTTCAGTTCTTTCCGCAACATTCCTCCAGGTGTAAAAAGTCTTTACTATGTTATGGATATTTTCTGGAGCTGGCAATGTCCCTGACTTCAGTTGGAAAATCGCTTTTTCCAGTCCTTCACACAAAGATTTTACTGAAGGCTCACATAAAATAATAAGGTTTTCTGGAAGCACCTCAGGAATACCACCAACCTTGGTACTTACAACCTTAAAAAGAAAGAAAGAACATATATATGCTCCACCATAATCAGCAAAACCAGTCAAAACATTATTATGGAATGTGTCTCATTATTTTTCAAAATATACAGAAACCCAAACCTTTTATGCCCTTAATGCTTTTTACCTGTAAACCGCAACTGGCAGCTTCCACAATCGCCATGCAGAATGCTTCAGTAAGGGAGGTATTAAGAAAAATATGTCCTTGAACTAAGACATCTCTAACATCCTTGTGTTCTAAAGCTCCCAAAAGACGCACCCTGATTTTTCAAAAGAGAGGGGAAGAAAGGAGTGAAAACTCATGCTACAAAAGAAATTTTATTTATAAACCAAGTCTGCTATTTATATCACACTTAGATTCTTATTGGCTGCTAACATTTCTCACCTCAAAATATTAGTATAACCAAACACTGATCTAATAAAAACAGCCTTCTAAAGTAGTTGGGTTAAAACTCACACAGCTAACATATTTCTAACTTTTGTTACACATATCAAACTTAATCTTCTCCAAAACTAGTCTGCACGTAATAATATTAATAAACTTTGATACTTAAATGTTAAGGTGCCATTTCTAAACAGGAAAATGGCTTTTATTGAAATTGATGCGTCACATGTACATGGCTTGTTCTATGTAAGTTATTGAGGAAGAGACCTGTCTAAATCTGTCTGTGCAGAGCAATTTACATGATTTGAGCCCTGTTATTTAAATGACTAAACAGTATGCCCTGGAAATCTGCAAATGCTTCCAGTTAAAGCAATTGTTTTTTGTGCCTTTCACAGTGCCTCCAACAACGGCCCCCCAAAGTCAAACAATACTGGGCTAATGGAAAAAATAAAATTGTGAATTCTTTAACTAGGTTTCCTATTTTATATAAAAAATTTAAAAAGTCCTTGCATTAGATTTATATCAATTATGTGTGTGTGTGGATTAAATTACTTGTGGGAGAAGCAACACATGTAAAGCAGACATGCAGTTAAAACCAAACAGAGATAACTGATCTTCTCCCTCAAGACAACATGAAATTCATCAATACCTGTCATGTAGCTGGTATCTTTCCCGAACTTCTTCCAAAATGATTCTCTTTGGTCCCTCTCCTCCAATTATGAAATTTAAATCTGGATATTTCTGACAGAGTTCAGGTATTATACCACTAAGCAAATCAGTCCCTGAAAATATAAAGTTGAATGTTGGAGATATTAATATTAAAACTTAAAAAAATTCACCAGAACTACTGAGAATCTACTCATTTGGAAAGTATTAGCTATGACTCCATAAAGGAGAGAAACTCTCTTAAAACTTTTCCAGGAGAGTGGAATTGTTCACAAACTGCCAGTGCTCCCCCAAGAGTTGCAATTCTTGAAGATATAGACCTTGACATACATTACCTTCCACACCCCCAAAATATGGACTATTGTTTCATCTCAACAGACTATTCTTTAAGTTATTCGCTTATGTTTACAAACTGCCTACTTCTTAAAAAAGGTAAATTTAAGGTAGCTAAGGTTTGAGGTCATTCTCCAGAGCAGGCAGCTGACTGGAGATCTGGGTCTTGTCCCAGCTTTTTTACCAGCAAGCCCTTGGATCATGGGAAGTTTCATGATCTATAAGATAAATATACCTATGAACCTAAAGTTAGGGTCTCTTTCAGCTATAAAATTCTTTTGTTTTTTTGAGACAGAGTCTCACTCTGTCACCAGGCTGGAGTGCAGTGGCACGATCTTGGCTCACTGCAATCTCTACCACCCGGGTTCAAGCAATTCCCCTGCCTCAGCCTCCCGAGTAGGTTGGACTATGGGTATGCAGCATCATGCCTGGATAATTTTTTGTATTTTAGTAGAGACAGGGTTTCACCATGTTGGCCAGGATGGTCTCAATCTCCTGACATCGTGATCCGCCCACCTCGGCCTCCCAAAGTGCTAAGATTATAGGTGTGAGCCACCGCTCCTGGTCTCAGCTATAAGATGCTCTCAGTCTGTGATTCCACTTACTGCCACAGGAAAAGGCTAAGCAACAAAATCTAACTGCAGCCTCCACTTTGTTTAAAATGTAGCTGGTACAGAGAATTTTGCAGTAAACAGTACAGTACTAGCAAAATTTAAGTTCGAATCAGCTATAGCCCACTTTCCCGGAATGGGGGTAAATGAAGGTGGCAGGGCATCAACTGTCAGATCATTACAGTCCATAGAACAAAAGGATGCTCTTGGTTCCTTTTTTTCTCCAAAATGATTTTCTTATAATATGTAAACACATCTCAGGTAATAGAAAACTATAAAGTAAATCATGCCGTTAGTCTGAAAAAGTGAGTAGCTATCCGAAGTCACAACAATGTCAACACTATTTGAGAATCTAGTTCATTAATTACAAATCATACATATTCAAAAGTAAAAGTAAACATACAATAATCCACCTAGAGCTAAGTTAAATTTTAAAAATGCATACACACATTGGAATTGTATTTCTTACATTAATCTTCCACCCACAATAGGCAGATCAGTTATAAAATAGATGACAGGATAAATGATATATATATATATATAGGGTCATTTTTATTAAATTATACAAAGTAGAATTCATTAAGTCTGCTAGTACTTTCCAACTATTATTGTATATATTAAAAACTCAGCTTTTCTGAATATGAAGGCTTATTAAAATCAAAGCTATCTTTGTTTGAAGTCTACTACCAAATCTATTAGATTTCTAGATAAACCAGAAGGTAGTTTAATGACTTTTAACATTTAGTCTCCTACAATTTCTTCAATCCATTTCCTTCCTCACCCTTTTCTTTCTCATACAAGGTTAAGAGCCCATTCTTCAAACAAACAAAAAACAACACACAGCAACAGTCATAAGTGATTATAAAAGCTAACAGTAACTGAGTGCTTACTATGACAGGCAATATACTTTAAATTCATTATGTCATTTAATCCTGACAACTATCTCATAAGAAATGGAACTGGTTACTATTACCAATGATCTATGTTCTTATTCTAAGAATAAAGGCTTTTCCCCACCACTAAAAAAAAAAAATTATTCTGGAGCCTCCAAGAAGAGTAACACAATGGAACCTAGAGACTTTCGACTGCCATATGAACACAAAACAGACAATGAAAATCTGATTCAAACTGCTTTTAAAGCTCAGTCTAACAATATTTTTAAGAACCTTCTGATCTTATACCTAGGATATTAGTGGCTGGGCATGGGTGGAGGAAGAGGAGGCCTTAACTCAAGAAAAGCTGGACTCATGTGTGTCATCTTGGTTACCTACTACGTAACCTGGATGTTACCCTCTCTGAGACTCAATTTCATGTAGATAACATCTACCTTACAGGTGTTGGGAGAGTCAAATGAGTATTGTACCATGCACCGGCTTTATCAACTGCAGAATATAAATGTAGGTTGTCATTAACACTACAGCAGGAAGCAGGTGAGCATGCCTACACATGCACAGAGCGCTGGTAAATCCTGACTGAGAGCAAAACAGGCTTGGAAGAGGAGGCTCAGGAAAAACGCAGCCAAAAAGCCTGAATAAAGAAAACTTCGATTTATCCTCTCTCTCACTTAAGGCATTCTAGTGGGACTTTGATATCTGGTCCAATAAACTCCTGAGGAAATTAATCTGTAAATAAGGAATGGACCATTAATACAACTACTCACTTTTGGGCTACAGGTATGGCTGTTCCTTCTCAGAATGTTACTTTTTGCAAGGTGCCTGGCACACGGAGAGGGTTCAATAAATACCTGTTCAGTTACTGAATTGAGTACAGGAAAGGCCATACCATCAAACCATCGGCAGTTAGCTCAGCTGATTAAAATACCACAGTAGTGTAGTAAAGGTGACAGCTTTAATCTTTGTATGGGTAGTTAATTTTGCTGATCCTTGATCACACATGCATCATACTCTTTCTTAGTATCTCAAGGCAATATGTTATTTGGTTAAAAAATAAATTAGGTACAATTTCCTAAGTCACAGAAAACATATCACTAATGTCCCAAGAGGAATTCAGAATACAGAATGCCAGTCGTTCCCATGTCTCTGCTTAAAGAATGAATGTATGTCATTGCCTTTAAACCAGAAGATGAAGTTCAGGGCAAGTTTCTTGCCGACCTTCACTTAAATGGACTGTTGGATCAATCAAGGTTCTCCGTGCCACATGCAGACTGACCAAGGCTCACATCTAGATTTAGGCTACTCCCTAGTACACTGGCACTGAGTTTAGTGCTTATCAAGAACCAGTTGTGTTTGTTCACACACCTGTTTAATGTCAGTTGTACTTGTCATCGTGTTGAGTAATTTAATAGCACATAAACTGACAAAAAGAGTTTCTACAAAAACTAAGCTGAACAGTTTGAAAAATCCAATAAAGGAAAGTCACCGAAAAAAGTTCTTGGTAGATGAGAGGTGTCCTAAACTACTGTATAACATTGAAAATAAATTAAAACTCCTGAAGCATAAAACTTCATGTGCCTTTAAGTTCTAGCCCCACTCAAACGAAACTCCAAGTAGCAATGGTAGATGATGCTTTGTGAAGGCGAGTGTGCAAGATACAGGTGAAGCCAGTGGCCCAGCACTCAAAGTCTGCAGTCTTACACCAAACTACTGGCAACTCAGTGTGTGTTAATATTTTGAGTTAAATTCAAATATTAAATATTTAAAGGGGCATTTTTTTAACGATTCCTTACTATAAATGATACTTTTTGAGACGGATCTCACTCTGTCACCAGGCTGAAGTGTAGTGGCGCTATCTCAGTTCACTGCAACCTGTGCCTCATGGGTTCAAGCAATTCTCCTGCCTCAGCCTCTTGAGTAGCTGGGACTACAAGCACATGCCACCATGCTTAGCTACTTTTTTTGTATTTTTAGTAGAGACAGGGTTTCACCATGATGGTCAGGATGGTTTCGATCTCTTGACCTCATGATCTACCTGCCTCGGCCTCCCAAAGTGCTGGGATTACAGGCATGAGCCACTGCATCCAGCCATAAATGACACTTTTGATTAGTGGACAGGTTTTCAAATAGCACTCAGAAGACACTGGTTTTTTATAACCAGACTGTGTCAGACTTCTAGTAAACAAGCCTCCACACATTCAACTGCAACGTCCATGAAGTGCTGCAGAGGTACTAATAACCTCCTTGGCAGGGCACTGTGGCTCATGCCTGTAATCCCAGCACTTTGGGAGGCCCAGGTGGGCAAATCATGAGGTCAGGAGTTTGAGAGCAGCCTGGCCAACAAAGTGAAACCCCATCTCTACTAAAAATATAAAATATTAGCTGTGCGTGGTGGCGGACGCCTGTAATCCCAGCTACTAGGGAGGCTGAGGCAGGAGAATCGCTTGACCCAGGAGGCTGAGGTTGCAGTGAGCTGAGATCACACCACTGCACTCCAGCCTGGGCAACAGTCCGAGACTCCGTTTCTGTCTCAAAAAAAAGAAAAGAAAAAACAACCTCCTTGATAATAGCAGACACTTACAAACTAGGCTAATGTTTTTATAGGAACTATCGCTGAACCCCTGCAAGGTTCCCAATGTTGCTTAAATTACACAAATGAAAAAACTGAGACTTAGAGATGTTAAGCAACTTCTCCTCGATCACACAGCAGGATAGAGCGATCATCTGATCCCAGGCCATCTAATCCCCTTTTCTTCATTACTTACCTGCCAATATCTTATACACGATTAAATGAAACAAGCAAGCTACAGTATAGTAATGTGCGGAGCAAGCCCAGTGATTTTCAGTATATGTACATACGCATAAAAAGGACAGGAAAGCTATAAATCAAAATACTCATTAGGGTATCTCTGAATAATACAGTTACAGCTGATTTTAGTTTTCATCTTTGTGCTTTTCTTAGTTTCCAAAATATCTGCAATGAAAAGACATTACTTTGGTAATCAGAAGAAAAAAGCCATGTGTGACCTCTGCCCTTTGCTTCTTTACCACATGTGCAGGGCTGTTCTAATTTTTAAAAAGACCTGAAATTTAACAGCAAGAGGTTACTGTTCTTTTTTTTTAAGTAACCATTAAAACATCAAATGTTGGGGGATGGCATCCACCACCATCCTGAAAATGTCTCTTCTTGTATATATAAACCAATATTAGAACTTTCTTTGCTATAATTTATTGCATTATAAAACCATAAAACAAAGCCAAACAATCATTACACACAAGTATTCAACAGCTTTCTACAAGGAAAAAAAGTCTACAATGCAATTATAGCTATCATTTCATTACCTTTTCTGTAAACAAGTCTGCTGACAACAACAATAGTTATACTATCATGCCTTCTAAATGGGTCTGGAGTGAAGTCAGTAGGATCTACAGCATTAGGAATGACGGACACTATTTCAGGATTCAGTGCTGCTCTTAGTACAGTATTTTCCTTACTAGTGTAAGACACACAAATGATGTGGTTTGTATCACAAAGAGACACAGTTAGAAGCTTGTTTGTAAGCACCGAGCTGACATCAGCAAATCCGAAAAGGGAATGGTCCGTGAAGACTGTCTGAAGCCCCATTGTCTTGGCGTGGAAGAGAGCATCATGGGCCATGGCAGAAAAAGAACTATGTGAATGGATTATCGTGACTCTCTCCCGAACAAATATGTACCTGAGCAATGGCAGACTGTGAAAGAGGGTCGTGGCTGTAGACTGGTTGTACATGACTTTGAGAGGCAAGTAATAGACTTTGAGGCCATTAGTGAGGTAACGGATGCCTTTTCGATTTCCATAAGCATGGGTGACAATTATAACCTTATGCCCTCTTTCAATCAGGCACTGAGAGAGCTGGTAAATGTGGCTTTCCACACCTCCCATATTTGGGTAGAAAAAGTCAGATACCATGCATATATTATGGGTACGGGTTCTACATGTGTAAAGACTTCCAGGGCTAACCCGAGAGAGTGTAGCTGAGGCAGGATGGCCATCCCCACCTCCTCCTCTATAGGCCATGCTGAGATGGTTTAGGCATCAGTTCTTAGAGCAACCCAGTTAAGAGATGTGTCCTCTATTACCTGAAAAAGAGTAAAACAGGATCTCAGCTCAGAAGCAAAACACACTTCATAGTGCAAATCCAGATAAAGATACTATTTTAATGTTAATGTAAATTTGTTAGCTTTTCCCTAGAATTCAAAACAAAGCATATCTTCAATTTACTCATTTGAGGTTTACTTGCTTGGCATTTACATACCAAAAAACTAGGCTCTACAATGTCTTAATTTTGCCCTAAAAATAATGCTACATGTAATTTTAAATAATAAGTTTGTTACACCACAGCATATCATGGTTTGCCATGTTAACAAACCAGTCATTTCCAATAATTAAGTATATATACACGTATACATACACACACGTTAATATATATAGATTACACTTTACCAGCTTCTATTAATACTTATTAAATGACCACTATACATCAGCCACTACATGCTAAGAGTCTTCTATATCTTTTTTTTTTTTATTTTGGAGACAGAGTCTTGCTTTGTCACCCAGGCTGGAGTGCAGTGGCATGATCTCGGCTCACTACAACCTCTGCCTCCCAGGTTCAAGCAATTCTTCTGCCTCAGCCTCCTGAGTAGCTGGGACTACAGGTGCCCGCCACCATACCCGGCTAATTTTTGTATTTTTAGTAGAGACAGGGTTTCACCATATTGGCCAGGCTGGTCTCGAACTCCTGACTTCATGATCCACCCACCTTGGCCTCCTAAAGTGCTAAGATTATAGGCGTGAGCCACTGCGCCCAGCTGAGTCTTCTATATCTTATTGCAACCTCACCAAAACTCTGTAAGTTATCAACTCCATCTTATCAATGGAAAGTCTAAAACTTAAAAGGGTTAAGAAATTTGTTCACAGTTGCTCAGCACTTAGAAGTAACACAGTATAGCAGTCTGTTTCATTAGTGGTCATGCCTCCTGGTATTTATGCCTTTCTCTAGTCCCTTCCCCTTGCATTTGGGGACCTGGTTTAGCCCATAGGAGGTGGTGGAAGTGATGTGCAAATTTTTGGCCTCAGCCTAAAAAACGTGTGGTGGTTTCCACTTGTGCACTCTTAGATATTCTAAGCCAACATGTAAGAAATCCATCTGTTGTGCTAGAGAGTCATGTGAAGAGACAATATGGAGAAGGAAGAGCTCTGAGACTACATGGAAAGAGCCAGAGGCCCAGCCAACCAGCCAACTTACCAGGTAAATGCAGCCTCCTAGTGACCGCTGTCAAGACCAAAAGAATCACCCAGCTGAGCCTAGCTGACTGCAGTATCACGAAAAATAACAAAATGGCTGTTTTATATCATTAAATTTTGGGGTGGTTCAGTAAAAAAATAACAAGACAGCTAAAACAGGCCAGGACTCAAACCCAGTTATACCGGTCCACTGCCTGTTTTTGTAAAATTTTATAGAACCTCATACTTGCCCATTCATTTATGTGAATGGCTACTTTTGTGCTACAACAGAATAGCTGCAACAGAGACCATATGACCCCCAGAGCTAAAAACGTTTACCATCTGGTCCTTTACATAAAGTTTGTCAACCCCTGCTCTAGAGCTTAGCCACTGATTCAATTGGTCTCATAAAGTTTTGCTAGTATTAGCTTTGTGGTTTACACTAAAACACACCTGGAACTCGAACTATCTTTCTGAAAATACCTTTCTAAAACGTCACCAGAGCACATGCTTCAAGCAATCCACATTTTCTCCTTCCTTATTCAAAAAGGGTGATTATCTGGCTCAGGCGTGGTGGCTCACCCCTGTAATCACAGCCCTTTGGGAGGCAAGGGTGGGTGGATCACCTGAGCTCAAGAGTTCGAGACCAGCCTGAGCAACATGATGAAACCCCATTTCCATTAAAAATACAAAAATTATCCAGGTGTGATGGTGCCTGTGGTCCTAGCTACTTGGGAGGCTGAGGCAGGAGAATTGCTTGAACCTGGGAGGCAGAGGTTGCAGTGAGCCAAGATTGAGAGCCACTGCACTCCAGCCAGGACAACAGAGCAAGACTCCATCTCAAAAAAACAAAACAAAAAACTCCAAAAAAAAACAAAGAGGGTGATTATCTAACTGCTCCGTTCACTTTTTAAACTTTTCTTTCAGTTATGCAGGCCTTTCAAAGTCAGTGAGTGGCCCTCCCTTCAGTGTGGTGTCTAAAAATGAAGGCTAAACTAGAAATGGGCTGTATCTAGGACCATTTTCTCCATTTAAAGTATGAAATGTTTATCTCAGGGGCCCCCTAAAGCCTTATCAACATGAAATGTTCACTCAATATTTAGTACTGTTATACATTCTTAGACATCTAAGACTAAAAAGAATCTTGGGTATCTAGTCAAAATCTTCCTCAGTTTCACAAATGAGATTTCCAACGCTCCAGAAACTCAACTGTACAATGAGAAACCATCTTAAAGCTCTGAGTTTCCGGTTTTACCTGCAAACTCAGAAAATGCCAATTAATGGTGTGTGCAAAGGCTTAACTGTCTCTTCTCTCCAACAAATTCATCTCCTTTTTTTTTGAGACACAGTCTCACTGTTGCCCAGGCTGGTGTGCAGTGGAGCGATCTCAGCTGACTTGCAGCTTCTGCCTCCTGCGTTCAAGCAATTCTCCCACCTCAGCCTCCTGAGTAGCTGAGATTACAGGCACATGCCACGATGCCCTGCTAATTTTTGTATTTTTAGTAGAGATGGGGGTTTCATCTTGTTGTCCAAGCTGGTCTCGAACTCCTAACCTCGGCTGATCCACCAGCCTCGGCCTCCCAAAGTGCTGGGATTACAGGTGTGAGTCACCACACCCGGCCTGATCTACATTTTAAATATACTCTCAGAAAGACTGCAGAAGTGTTTGTTGAACTGAATTTATTAATTAAGATTCAATATTACCAAATATTGAAATTCCCCAAATTTTTACTTTTTGGTGGCTTAACTAACATTTTCTCACTGTTGTCACCTAAACCTGAACTTCCAGCTCTATCAGTTTTAAAAGATGAATGATAGCAAAAACAGTGAGTAATGAACCAAATGATGGCATTTAAAATTTTGTCATTGGCCTGCAACGTTCTGTGAGGAGTCTGCCCACTTCCACCAGGATTTCACTCCAAACATCTTCGTGACATAAACGCTCAATATGCTCCACAATCGCAGAATCTTATCTCTTAAAGCCGAAATGAGGCTTGAAGCTCTAGTGAATATCTCTTTCGCTTTACGAATGAGAAGCCAGACAAGTTGAGTCATTAGTCCAAGGTTTCCACCCAGCCACTTAAAGTGGCAAAGATATTACCGTAAAATTCTCGACCACGGCCAACGAGCCCCGGGGAATCATTAGCAGTAGAGGCTCCTGAAGAATCTTAGGGAGACCTGGCAGGAGTTGTGGGTCAAGAGGATGGTACTTCCACTGAGAATTCCTGGGCACTGCCTGAGCTTCACTCCCTGACTCCCTGAGAGGTCGCTGGGGAACGCTCTGGCCAAGGAGGGAATGCCTCTGCTTAGACAGCAACCCTGCTGAGTTCATGGCACGGACTGGCCAGGCCCAAAGAGAGAAGGAAAACAACCAGAGAGTGCACGCGGGTCTCAGGCCCGGGGTTCCGGAGACCCCAGTCCCTCGACCCACCTGCCTGAGCCAAGAAACCCAGCGCGTCCGCCCTAAACGCACCCTCAGACCCAACCTCTCTGGAAACCTTCCGACCCCACTTCCGGGCTTCGAGCCGGGTCGGCTTTACACCCTCCACCACCCGCCACGCTCCCACGCGCGAACAGCCCCATCCAAAAGCGGCCCACAGCGCTGGAGAGGGGAGGCAAGACGCGGACTTACCGGCGAGTTCCATGGCCGCCAGTGTCCGGACCTCCCGCGGCTGCAGCCGGAGTCCCTCCCCTCTGTCCGGAAGCACCAATCTAGGGCGTCCGCGCCCAAGGGACGCGCCCCCGAGGCAGCCAATCACAAAGAGGCGCTGGGGTCACGTCCGAGAGTGACGCTCTGTCGTCCCCACCCTCAAGCGCGGGATGCAACGTCAGCACGCGCGGGCGTCTGTCTCTTAAAAGCTGCCGATGGTAGGGTGGGTGCCCACTGGCGCCCACCCTGGTTGCCTGGTTACAGCGTCTCTTTCCTGGATGTCGGTTCTCTCCCGCTTGCTTCTGATTGGAGAGACCTTTTGTTTGTAATCAGCTGTGGCACTGCAGAGCCGTGCCGGTTCTTATCGCTCTGGGACGTTGGCCAGATGCAGCAGACAAAAATACACAAAAAGTCGAAACAGGTGAAACTATGAAGTTTTAATTGCAGAAAAAAGAACAAATGATATTTAATACAAGCATGTACCAAATATTGGGGACTTCACCACACGATTATTCGTTTTGTATCTGACCTGTAAATTTAACTGGACATCTCGTTATTTACATGGGAACTCTACATTCTGGGGGAAACATGAGGTCCGATCTGAAATAACTCCCACTCGAACTGGTTCAACTAGTTATGAAAGCTAAAGGATCAGTGAGAGTGGTGTGATGATCATCCATGTATCATAGCTGGTACTTGTAACTGCCATATGTGCACTTTTGAGAACAAATTTCTTTCTGGCACCCATTTTATTAAGCCTAGCGTAAGACTATTCATCCCTGAAAATGTCAGCTCCTTTTTCATGCTTTCCCCAAGCTTCCAGAGAATGAAATACTCTCACGCTTTAATTTTAATAGTACTTTGGCCATATGCTGGTATAACATTTATCAGATGATATTCAAGTTGTTTGCCTGATTGCATTCTCCCTCCTCACCTTGATCTCTTGAGATCTTACATGGACTTCTTTCTGAAAACTGAAAATTGTATTTGATTTGCTTGTTAAATGTTCTGCCTTCCCTGCCAGATAGTAAGCTGAGTCAGGATCTGTTCTTGGTAATGGATGTTGAATAAGTTTTAGTTAATAAATAAATTTCTTCTTTCTCTCTCTCTCTCTCTCTCTCTCTCTCTCTCTCTCTCTCTCTCTCTCTCTCTCTCTCTCTCTCGTTGCCCAGGCTGGAGTACAGTGGCATGATTTCGGCTCACTGCAACGTCCACCTCCTGGGTTCAAGCAATTCTCCTTCCTCAGCCTCCTGATTAGCTGGGATTACAGGCATGTGCCACCACTCCTAGCTAATTTTGTATTTTTACTAGAGACGGGGTTTCTCCATGTTGGTCAAGCTGGTCTCGAACTCCCAATCTCAGATGATCTGCCTGCCTCGGCCTCCCAAAGTGCTGGGATTACAGGCATAAGCCACCACGCCCAGCAATACATAAATTTCTTTACTTAATGTCAGCACGCTCCCTGACACATATTAGGTGCCCAATAAGATGTATTGAAAGTATTTCATAACGTGTACCTTATAAAAATTACAGTGCAAAAACATCATTAAAAGGGCATTTTAGTCGTGGGATTTGAAGCGTATTAATGAGTTAATGAGTGAGGCTAGAGTAGCAATGGATATTTGCCCTGGATTAATACTGATGAAGCATCAGAGAATTACAGTGATGAAGACTCAAGGACACTTAATTAAGCTTTATAATTTGTAGTTGGTTTCACAGATAACAGCAACACTACCAGATTAGTGCAGCATTGCTTTGGTCTCCTTTTCATTTTTGTAATAGGTTTTGAGACAAAGGGTGGGGGTAGAAATCCCGGAAGGTATAAATGAGGGTTAAGCCTCATTTATTGAGACCCTGGTTTGCCCCTGCCATAGTTCTGATCACAATACACAATTGAAATTCTACCATGAATCTTTTTTCAAAATAGAACAAATATTTCTTATTTTTATCATCAAACATTTACTGTCTGCTCCGTAAAAAGGCCTTGTGGGTAATACAAGGAATATTAAGTATTGTCCCTGTGTTTCAACAGCTTTTTATCTTGCCTAGCTTTTCCTATACATGTTATCAATAGTCAAAAGAAATCCACTTTTCTTAAAAGGTTCTTTGTGTTTCAAATATAGAATAGGCTGACCTTTATAAATAGATATTAATAGAGACACACTGTTGCTGAGTCTCTGTAATGGAGGGGGTTGAGGAGCCTGCAGACTGTTCCAACAACGTCTGAAAACATTGAACATTCATGCTCCAGCTTCCTCTGTCCTAGGCACTGAGCATTAAAAGGTAAATAAATCATGATTCCGACTCCCAAGGGTTCACAATCTCACCCAGGTACATGACTTCATTTGTAGTCAGTTTGATCTTAATTAAAGGTCTCCATTTAAGGCTGTATTCTTAAAAGTCAAAAGAAATTTGTAATAGCAAGATTAAGACATCAATCTGGAGATGATTCTAATTATGGTGTCCTGCCTAAATGCATCATCTCAAGGAATGTCTTGAGAGAATTTTCTCAGGAACCACTAAGATTAGACTAAGATACTTACATGCATTATGTTATGATTACACTTAGGAAAATATGAGGGCAGTTGGTATCAGCTTTAGTGTTCAATTACCTGAAATGATGAAGATGTAAAATAAGTGTAGACATCATCTTTCCTTGAAATTCAGTTTTTTGCAAGTTCATATATAAATTAGCTGTTTGGGATACTTTTGGAGTGGGAAGGCGACAAATATGTCTTGAGAGCCTACTATCTGTGTACAAAGAGTGATGCAGAGAAAATCTGGCACGAGCTTTACTTGCAAGAAACCAAGATGGAGTTTTCAGGTGCATGTAAATATCTATGATAAAAACCAGGAACTGATAAATGCCACAAGAGATATATAAGAAAAATACTGGGAGTTCAAAGGGAAAGAGTATGTCTAGCTGCCAGCATTTAGCTAGAAGAATAATTAGACGATGTAATGCAACTCTTGGGAACAGGATAATTCCAAGAACAACATGAATGAGGTACAGGCAGGTGCTGTCCAGCAAACACTGCTTTGTGATGACACAGGAAAAAAAGAAGGAAAAGTGGCATTTTCAATGAAGGTTAGAGCAAACTGGTAGAAGATCTTACTAAGGGAAAAGGACTTGACGTTGAGGCGGACTTCCAGGCAAGATCACATTTTCAATGAGTATTTTGAGACTCCTAATTCCTGATTCTGCTTCAAATAGAACAATAAATGATGCAATATACGTGAGAAAATGTAATGTTTTATCTGTGATTTAAACAAGAAGATAAACATTTCCATGTATTAGAAACAGAACCAAAATGCAAAATGGTGATCAGGAACAAAGGCACATAGGTCCTGGATTCTGTATGTGGCAGCAAGAAGATGTGAACCAGGGTTCAGCCCCTGTAGAATAATAGACTAACAGGATTCCATGTGTGGCTTGATAAAAGAACCAGTTTTGTGAGAGACTGTTAAAATGGTGACCTTCAATAAACCACTGTTTCACATTGGCAACCTTGTCTAATCCTCTCCCACATTGGCTCTGGGTTTGGGCATGTGACTGGCATAGCCAATGAGACATTAGCAAATGAGATGCCACAGATGCTTAATACATTTTTATGTACTGGGATATGTCTTATTGGAACCTTTCCTCTTGAAAGCGAATGGCTATTCTGTGAAGCTCAGACGAGATATTGAATAATGACAAGCCACATGGAGAGAAGCCCTGAAGAATGAGAGGTCATCTTGGGCATTCCAGCAGTAAGTGAGTTCCCAACTTAACCACTGGAGTGACTTCAGCCTATACTATGTGGAATGAAAGAACAACTTAGCTGATCCTAAGTAGCCCACAGAATTATTAGAAGTAATAAATCATTATTGTCTCAAAACACAAAGTTTTTGGGTGATTTGTTACATAGCAATACATAACCAAGCCTTGTTGCTTAGCCATCTCCCCTACTTGTGAATAAAGATTGGAAGGATTTTTTTCCAGCAGTCTTGGGATATAACTTTGCTAACAAAACTCAGCCAAGCAACATAATTTGTCACTTTCCACTATCACTGCTAGTCTGGGGGATATAAGTGTGTGCCCACACGCACACACACGTACACACACACACACACACACACACACACACGGAGAGGAGAGAGCCCTCTCAAGAGTGATTTATAAACCAAAATTCAAAAACAATGGAAGAAATATAATGCTAAGAAAGACAACACACAAATGTAACAATGGAAGAAAAATTCACTCTAGACGCAATTCAAATAATTTTTGAAGTGACATTTTTTAAAAGAACAAGAATTTGAAAATAAAAACATGCAGAAATTAAACAAACACCAGTATATATAAAAGAATCAATTAGATATTCTGAACATGAAGATGTTACTAGCATTTTTAAAACTCATTACACTGATAAACTTTAGGCTACACACTGTTGAAACAATGGTTAGTGTGGTGGAAAAGAGTAACCGAGGCAGTCACTTCTTTTTGGTGCAGAATATAGAGACGAAATGTCAAACCACAATCAAGGCTTTGTCCTAGGAAGATTGTTCTAGGAGCTGGAGAAAAGGAGGGTAAAAGAGTGGCGCAGCTGGAGAAGAGACCAGTTAAGCTGTTTCGGGTGATTTGTTACATAGCAATACATAACCAAGCCTTGTTGCTTAGCCATCTCCCCTACTTGTGAATAAAGATTGGAAGGATTTTTTTCCAGCAGTCTTGGGATATAACTTTGCTAACAAAACTCAGCCAAGCAACATAATTTGTCACTTTCCACTATCACTGCTAGTCTGGGGGATATAAGTGTGTGCCATTCAAAGTAGGGTCTGCAGATCAGCAACACCAACTGGGAGCTGGTCAGAAATGCAGACTCAGATTCTCCAGATCTGCTGAATCAGAGTCTGCAATTTAACAAAATCTGGAATGATTTGTAGACAGTGTCATACAACTCTTGGGAACAATAATTTCAAGCACAACATGAATGAGGTACAGACAGGTGCTGTCCAGCAAACACTGCTTTGTAATGACACAGGAAAAGAGAAGAGAAAGTGGGCAGACAGAAGAAGAGTGGCATTTTCAATGAAGGTTAGAGCAAACTGGTAGATCTTACTAAGGAAA